AAAACAATGCTAATGATATACACGCTAATCCGCAAGTGTGAATTGTTTACTTACCTTTTACGAGCACTGAGAAATACGTTTCGTTTTCAGACAAGCTAATAGAGAGACTGTGACTTAACCTAGTAATGTATGTATAAGGTCAAATTTCACAGATACTTATACATACGATTTTGAGAGTATTTGAGAAACGGAACTGACAGGTTGTGTTTTCAGAATGGCAGACTACAGTTTAATGATCATGTGATAACATTGATGTTATGTTCTATTTTTAGGTGGAATGTGCGAAATTGGTGATTAGTGTTGTTGTGGTCATTGTTATAGCAAACCTGATACGTCATGACTTCAAGTACCTCAAAGTGGTCACCTGATGGTGAGACGTACATTGCTGCGGACTGTGGATTGAATGTTTTCCCGCCTGAAGTCTTTGATAAAAGTCATAGGAATGTTAAGGGGATATTGCTGAATGGAAACAATATTTCAGAAATTCCAGAAAATATTTCTTGTTTACGTCACCTGGAATGGCTGGACTTATCTGACAACAATCTCGGAACAATTCCAGATAACATTGGAAACCTTTCTCAACTGACATATCTGTCTCTGAAGGGCAACCCATTGATAAATCTACCCATGTCTTTGAGAAGACTAAAGAATCTGCATACATTTACCTGTGACACCATAGATGGTATTTGTGAACAAAATGTGCGGATTTGGAACAACAAGACGGAAACCAGACAACTATTTGATAAAATATTTGAAACAACAGGTAAGTGTAGTAAAGAATGGAAATAAACAAACATTGAGCATGTGACTAAAATAAAATATTTCTTTCAACTGAGAAAAAGTGAAAAAATTTAATAAAAGTGGAATTTAAAAGGTTAAGACCTGTTGGGGGTCTTGCCCATAATCCCTCACATAATACAAATACCTATGTTAGGTTGTAAAAGTAAGATATGTTAGGGGTTTGAGTGACTATAGTAAACAATGTGCATGGCTACAGTGTTTACCAGTATATACATAGTGTCAATCTTTAAAGTTGTTCCCTTTCATTTAGCGAATTTTTTTTTCAACATAATCTTTCAAGAAATATTTAGTAGTAGGGGTTCTTCTATGGTTATT